CTCTCTCTCTCTCTCTCTCTCTCTCTCTCTCTCTCTCTCTCTCTCTCTCTCTCTCTCTCTCTCTCTCTCTGTCTCTCTGTCTCTCTTTCTCTCTGTCTCTCTGTCTCTCTGTGCGTCTCTCCCCCCTTCCCCCCCACGCCCCCATCTCTGTGTGTCAAACCGTAGAGACTGTGTACTATGCGGCCAGAATACCTCAGGAGGAAGACAAGCATCCGAGTGAGTCAAGTCAAAACACAGTCCTCAAAATAGTACACCCTTTTTTACATATTGCTAGACCCAATGGGCATGCAGAAGACAGAAAAAAATACGTGCAAGAGCAGGAAGACTGAGAAAACAAACAAAAACGAGCAGCACTGAAAAAAATATATATATAATGAGAAGACCAGAAAAATGATAATGATAATGAGAGACTGTTTCGTCGCACGTGCACCGACTAATCAGGAGGCTGAACCCTTGACAATTTGCGGCATCCACATATTGATGCGTCGAGTCAAGAGTTCTTTCAGTTCCTGTTGAAAGTGCTCGACCAGCAGGCAAGACCTCAAGTGGAACATGGCGGCTAGGCAATCCTAATTCCACAGCGCAAGTACACAGCACAAAAGCTAGCTGCATAAAAAGATGCTGCAAGTGGACCGGCGGCAAAGCAACAATGCAGCAAAGCACAAGGGAGCGCTCTCAAAGCAGCCAAACTACTTGGCACACAAGCAAACTGCACGGACACACAAGGCTCGGGGATGGGCAGTGAGCCATCCAGGCAGCTTGCAAGCGGCCGGACTACACTGCAAACAGACAAGCTGCAAGCAAGACATGGCAAGCCAGTGGGACGAATGTCTGTCATCAGCCGTGGAACATGCACTCCGGAGACATCGCAAAGACAGTGGCATGCCTTATTGTATTGCAGGCACTTCAAACAGGGCAACATTGAGTGATTGGTACTTCTTAGGGGTGCTCTCTCAGACAATCAAAAAGTAAGGTTGAAAAGAAGAAAGTGTCTGTGTGTGTGTGTGTGTGCGTGTGTGTGTGTGTGTGTGTGTGTGTGTGTGTGTGTGTGTGTGTGTGTGTGTGTTATTGGCTCTGGTGGTGAAGCCCTCAGCATAAGTCGGGTGGTTGATGATGGGGGTTTTGTCAAGCAAAAGTAGCAGAGTTCTCAGCTTCTTCCCTCCCCATTGCATTTTGTGGTATCTTTTTTTCTTGTATATACAGCCCAGGGTGTTGTAGAGGCCAATGACCAGACACGGTGACACAAGCGGTTAACGATAGCTGAAAATTCAGGAATGAAAATTCTGAAGTGAGAGTTTTGGGCAGTCTGAAAATCCAGGGTGTTGTCGAGGCCAATAACCAGACACACGGTGACACAAGCGGTTAACGGATAGCTGAAAATTCAGGAATGAAAATTCTGAAGTGAGAGTTTTGGGCAGTCTGAAAATCCTGAATGGTCCTGAAGTGGTGTCCTGACAG